GTTCGAATTAAGGGGCTACACACCCCTTAATTCGAACTAGCTAGTTCGAACTAGGCTTAATCCTCGTAAAATGAGGTTTACCTCGTTCGAACTAAGCGCTCTGCTAGTTCGAATTAAATTCGAACTAGCGGAGCGCTAGTGTAGCGCCTATTAAAGTTAGTTCGAACTAACGTCCGTTAGTTCGAACTAACTTTGTAGTGTAGACATACCCTTTTTCAGGTAATCTCTAAACTGGAAATACCTGATGCTAGCCATATGCCCCAGAAGGCGCAGGCACACCCTGGTCATATTTATGGGAAATTTAAACATCTCTGTGATGAGGCTCGATAGAGCCTTGGAACTGGTCTAGCAGCAGGAACACTCTTGCACTGGTCTAAGTGAGGGCGGCTCTGATGAATTCTATCTTTGAACTGGTACTACTGTGGACTTTATGTTATTGAAAGAAGCCCCAAGAAGCAACATGTGGATAGGAGGACTTGGACATTGCACTGGAGCTACCACTTGGAGCTGTCTTTAACAAGCCAGTTCAAGGTATGGGTAAGTTTGGATACCCTGGCATCTGTGGTATGCTACTACTGCCATGAACTTGGTAAACACCCTAGGTGCTGTGGCTAGGTCAAAAAGGAAGACTGCAAATGGGTAGTTGGCCAAACCCATTGTAAGACAAAGAAAGCTCCTGTGCCCCAAAAAGATTGCCACCTGGAAGTACGCATCTTTCAGGCTGAAGGTGGCATACCAGTCTCCTGGCTCCAGTGAGGGAGTGATGGAGGCCAGGGAGATTACACAAAAGTTTAGTTTCTGTAAGTACTTGTTGAGGTCTTGAAGGTCTAGAATGGGACATAGACCATGCTTGACATCTGAGATAAAAAATACATGGAATAAAAATCTTTGTTCTGGTAATAGAGGCAGAACCACCTCCTTGCTGCTCAAGGAAGTGCTCATGAGAAGGGTCTAGGAAGAGGGATGTGGAGGATGAAAATAAATGTGAGGGTGTATCTGTGCATTACTGTATTGAGGATCCAGCAATCTGAGTTGTTGCTGACCATGCAAGAGGATATGGGAAAGGTAATTGCCAAAGACCAGGAAAACTGGATCCAGGGAAAGATCTGGTATGTTGCCCTCGGGTGTACATTCAAAATGACATTTTAGACCCATGCTTGGGGTAAGCCAAGCCCATCTGGGCAGAAGTAGTAGGAGGGTGGCTCGACAGCTGTTTTTAGTTCTTGAAAAAAACAACAAATGGTCTGGTAGCACTTGATACCATCTACATGTTTTGTTAGTCTATAAAGTGCTACCAGACCATTTGTTGTTTTTTTCTGTACAGACTAACTCGGCTAACCTCTGAAGCTTTAGTTCTTAAGTTTGTTGTGGGGCAGATGCTGCTGAAACTGACTCCCTTGTCTCTGAGCTGTTAGAACTGCTTATGCTCTAGATGAGTACACAGATGCCCAAAGTTTTAAAGGTGGTGCAGGAGTCTTTCAGCCCTTGTAATTTGGTATCTGTTTGTTCCACAAACAGTCCTGGCCACTGAAGGGGAGGTCCTGAATCAACTGCTGAGCCTTGGTTGAAAACCCAGAGAGGAGTATCCAGGGTGCTCGCTGCATGGCAGTGACAGATGCCACAGTGTCAGAAGTGGAGTCTGTAGCATCATAAACTTCCTTGAAAGCCAATCTTGTGGCAGCAATGCCCTCATCCAGGATTGCCCAGAACTCCTTATAGGAGCCCTCCGGAAAGGCACCCTTGAACTTGGCAGCCGAACGCCACATACTAAAATCATCCCACCCCAGGAGAGCTTGGTGTTTGCTGCACTCAGCTGTAGGCTAGATGAAGAATAAATCTTATGTCCAAACAAGTCCAACCTCTTGGAGTCTTTATTTTTAGGGGTAACTTCGGGTTGCCCGTGCTGTTCCCTATGGTTAACTGCCTTCAGTGGCGACACCTGGTAGGGCAATAAGGGGGGCACCAGCCCACCTCTCCATGCTCGCCCCTGATCCATTCCTCCCCACCCACCTTTTCCTAGCACTCCCCAGAGTGGCAAGAAGTAGCACCACGAGGGCTGGAACTGCCCAGTCTATGCCTTCCCTACTGCCAGAGTGAGTGAGTGAAGGAAGTGGGGGGAAGGGGGAGGGAAGGAGGCTGCAGTGTGGACTACTGGCGAAGGCCCTCCGGCCTTGGAGGATGCAGGGGTGCACTGGCCTGGCCTCCCCTTACATGTTGTTTGTGATTGCCTTGGCCACCAGGGAATTTGGGGCAGTGAGTGAATAAAAGTATTTGTGGCCCTTGATCAGGACAAAGTACTTCTGCTTTGCCCATTTGGAAACAGAGGCAAGGAGGATGGGGTTTGCCACAAGGCATTGTTAATTTTTGACACCCCTTTGTGAAGGATAAGGGCAACCCTAGCTGTGGTTATGGAAGAGAGAACATCAAACAGGAAATCTGCCCGATTTTCCAACTCCTCCACCTGCAGGCTGAGACTGGAAGCAACCCACTTCAGTAGTTCCTGGTACACCTTAGCATTATCCTGAGGAACAGGATAAGGAGTCCCCATGATAGCCTTGCTCAGTGACGATGAAGAAGAGGCCAGTACCACGGGTTCCATGGTACCCATTAGTGCTCCAGTAGTTTGACCCCCTTCATCAACATGATTTGAGGGGTCTTTTCACTGACGCTTCAGGCATTAGAGAGGTCACTGACCTATTTGAAATTCTCAACACTGAGCAGGCAGGTTGGGATGGCTGAGTGAACCCTGATATGGTCCAGGGGTACCACAGAGCCAGCCACTATGCCTGGGCCCACTGGGTAGGTTTTGGTGCAGATGATATAGATTGTCCTGGGAGGCTGTCCCTCCAGGATTGAGCCCTGTTCCATACCAGACCCATATCAAGAACAGTTGGTATCTGGTTACCACAATCTACTGGAGCAGCAACTTTGCATGTGGCTGTGCCCTTGGTCACATCTGGAAGAGAAGTAGTCTGAATAGGATGACTACCTCCATAGAAGCCTTGGTGATTGGTGGCACTCAATGGATCTGTAGCGGAAACCTAGCGACCACAACTCATGAGCTGAGACAGTACTGGGTTGAGAATCATAGAATACTAGAACTGGAAGGGACCTAAAGAGATCAAGGCTAGTCCCCTGCCCTCACAGCAGGACCAAGCACAGTCTAGATCATCCCTGATATGTCCAGTGATGGAGATTCCACAACCTCCCTAAGCAATTTATTCCAGTGTTTTAACCACCCTGACAGTTAGGATTTTTTTCCTGATATTCAAATGGGACTGAGAATTATTGCAGGGCAGTCGCTGGAAGGGCCACCCAGTATGCAGTGACATTGGTCTCAGGGATCAACTGTGGGACCCATGGTTCCTGTTCTCTGAATGATCACAGGAACTGTAACATCCCAACAATACAAGAGGTTGGACCTGACATTAATGCCAGGGGCGCATGCTTCTGAGGGTCTGCACCAGATAACCAGAGAAGTCTCCCTTTGCCAGCACCCAGAATCCAGTGACTAGAGAGGGCTTCAGTGTGACTGCCTCCCCAAATCCAAGGCATGTTGACTGCTAATGGATGATTGGTGCTGGGACATCCCCTGCAACAGAGAGCAGTGCCACTGGGGTTAGGGAAGAGGTAAGGGTTCTAAGGCTTATCCCATGTCTGGGTACTGCTGGAGCTGGTGTGTGTGGCACCGGGAATCACAGGATCTCCTACGCAGCCTGGAGAGCTTCAGACGGTCAATGGCACCTGAAACTGATGAAGGCCCGCTTCTGTGTTCAGGCTTCTAGGCAAAGAATGGGATGTGCTGCATCACTCATCATGAGTAGGCACCTGACTTCCTGAATGGAGAGATGAGCTGCCCAACACAGGTTTAGCTCGGCCCCAGCCCTGTCCTCATCCTTAAGGGGAGTATGCAACCAACCCAGAGACTATGTCAGTAATGCTGGGCCTACAACCAGATGTAGAAGCAACATGAGGCTTGTGGACTGTTGCAGATTTTAGGAGGCTCCATCAGATCTACAGCCAATTGTACTTGCACCTATTGGCTCACTTGTGTTTTTGCTAGTATTTGTTACTGTGCGTGGAAAGAATGTTGCCTAAGCCTATGTGTAAAACTATGAATGCCTCTCCTGCATCCCCTCCCCAGCTCTGAGCACACACTTCTGTGCCAATTCCTTCCCTTGTACTCTGATCCCATCTTCAGTACTTCTATGTGGGCTTTGTCTACACTTTCAATTGATCAACAAAACTTTTGTAATTCACAGGTGCTTAACCTCCCTCTGGAAGGACAAAGTTTTGCCACAGCATGTGCATGTGTAAATGACGCTTTATTGGCAGGAGCACTCTCCTGCCAACAAAGAGAAACCCACTAGTTGTGGGTGGCAGCATTTTGTCAGCAAAAGCGCCACCAAACAGCATTTACACATGCCAACTTATTGACAGGTCTGTGTCGACACAGCACTGTCACTAAAAGCAGTGTAGTGTAGACATAGTCTCTCCTTCATTAATTCCCTCCATTTTTTACCAGCCTACTGCCTCACTGTTCCTCCTCATTCATTTAATACCTCATATCCCTTATCACAAACTCTCCATCACTAAGGCTATGCCTATACTGCATACCTAACAGCGGCACACCTATGCTGCTACAGTCTTGCTGCTACAAGATATGCAGTGCAGCCTCTCTGTGCTGGTAGGAGAGCACTCCTGCCAACAAAATAAAACCACCTCTAATGAGGGATGGTAGCTTTGTGAGCAGGAGAGTGTCTCTTACCAACGAAGCATTGTCCACAATGGCACTTTTTGTTCTTAAAACTTTTGTTGGTCAGGGCAGTGGTTTTTTTCACACCCGACTGACAACATTTTTAAACAAAAGTGCAATGTAGACATAGTCTAAGTCTTTTCCTTTCCTCATGCCCCACATTCTCTCTCTCACACACTGTTTAGTACAGTCTAGACTAGGTTTAAGATTCTGTTTTTAAAACACTACTTAAGGCCCAGTGTGTTATTTATATCCACTACTTCTGGGTCCTAGGGCAGGGTCTTGTGCTTTAGGTGCTGATATTCCTATATTCAATCCTGCTGATCATCATATCATTCATATGTATGTTGCTCATGATATGTTTAACATGACAGTAGAATGTTCCTTCTATTTTCCACTATCTGGGAAGATACACTGTAGGCATCAGCTTGCACAAAATCAGTCTGAACCATAAGCTACATACTCATTTTCAAAAATTTTGCCACATACTTGCATGCCAAGTCCTACTCCTTGCACCTGACTGCTCCTATCTTCTGTTCCTCCCTAGCTTTCTGTTATACAATCGTTGATGGCAATTAATGTGGCTGAATGTCTATTTGTTTTCTGAACATGTAACATGGGCCTCTCCTGACCCTTTTCATAGGGAAGTGAATATGAAAGAGGCTTTGGCTTCCTCTCCCTGCACTGCATTTGTTTCACTTTCTCCTCACCTATTGAGACAACCAGAAGCTGCCTACATCCAGATGCAGCTCCCTGAGCTCGCATCCCATGGGAGGAAGACTTCAGATCCATGAAGAGAAGTGCAGGAAATAAGGCTGTTAGAGAGAGAACACTGCAGAGAAAGTTTTCCAGGGAACCTTTGCTTTAACAAATTTATGACAATCCACACAAAAGCTGTATTTTTGAAAAGGGGATACAAGGATGGGCAAGAGACATAGACAACATGAGTTAGGTACACAGGGACTCATTCCCATTTACATGAGGGCCACTTAACACTATATCTGAGCAGCAGAAAGAGGCTTGGCAGTGTAGTAGCTTCCATTTTGTGCAAAAACCCCGTTTTGCTTCTTTTTGCACAAAAAGAAAGGGTAGAAAATATGCTAATGATATCACAACTCATACTAATGAGTCCCTCATTAGTGTATTTTCTGCCACAAAAACTCACAGTGTAGATATAGCCTGTGTGTCTGACTTACTCTGTTTGTGTCTCTTGCCCAGCCAAGCCCAGTTAGGTATCCAGGCACTGATCCCCATTTATGCTCAGGAGGACTTAAAGTGGCCTTAGTGTAAATGAAATCAGACCCAAATTCCTATACAGGCAGTCCCCGGGTTACGTACAAGATAGGGACTGGAGGTTTGTTCTTAAGTTGAATTTGTATGTAAGTCGGAACTGGTACATATTGTAGGGGAAACTCTAGCCAAACATTTCTCCAGAGCTCAGTTTTATTCTCCCACACCTCACTTCCCTCAGTCCTTTATTCTTAAGCTGAGGTGCCTGCTGAGAAAAGCCGCTCCACGTCTCCCTGGTCTGCTGGGGGGAAGCAGCTAGTGCGGGATTGCCTCACCCCGTTTGTAAGTAGGGATCCGATGTAAGTCGGATCCATGTAACCTGGGGACTGCCTGTATTTGGAATAAAGCTGCAAGTCAGTGCAGAAGAGAAGAACTGGATGAAATCAGTGAGAAATGCCCTGCTCGTGTACACTGTAAAAATTACAATAATGTTCTTCAAAACAGGTTCCCTTCTTATCTCACTTCCATATGGACCCAGCAGGCTTCCCTCTTGACCAAAACAGGGACTGGCAGAGAACAAGTAATATGCTGCCAATATTTAAAACAGGGGCTCCCTCACAATATTTTCTCTTAGCTGGTGACACATCTCTTTTACCACAGTCTTGCGTGTGCTAAGGACATGCAGAATGAGGGACAGGGAAATCTATTCATTTGGTTTCCTACTCAAACACTTTTTTATAACCAGAACCAAGAAGTGAGAGAGCATAATTCAGCACCACACTGATGTAAAGTGAATTTGTTGGCAATATTTATAAACTGGTAGTGGAACTTAAGCAGAGGGTATAGGAAAG